AATCGGCGGAGCTCCTAAATGCTCTTACAAAAGAAGACTTCCAGCATTGCTTTGACCAATGGAAAAAACGAATGGAACGGTGTGTAGCGAGGGGAGGGGAGTACATTGAAGGGGAGCATTCAATTGTAGAATAATTTTTAAAATAAAACTCTTTTTCATAACCAGTCTCGTTATTTAATAACCAGACCTCGTATATTCTAAATTTTAAATTGGTTTTAATTTTATGGAGAAAAAGAAAAAAAGAAAAGAAAGAAAAAAGAAAAATAAAGATATTCATCTTCGCATTCGGGAAGGTCTTAATATATAATATTATTTAATATATAATGCTACTTAATATATAATACTACTTAATATATAATACTACTTAATTGTTAGGCACATATGCTATTGTTTAGTTATTATTTTAGAAAAAGGAATCTTCAAAAGAAAAGGAAAGATTGTAGAATAGATATTCTTTATCTATGTGACGCGTGAGCTATCTGGTTGGTTTGAATGTTTAAATAAAGGAACTAAATAAGCCCTGCTATAAAAGGGAAAAGAATTTTACAATATATAAAAGGTATGATAAAGTTTCGAAATGAAGATAAAATAGGGACAAAATATCAAAACCAAGGCGAAATACAAAACTAGAGATAAGATAAAGGTAAGGTATACTATAAATCGTATATTTATAATAAGGAAAGAGAGAATTTTATCGGGATGTAACATATGCAATGACGTTCATACGTCAAGCGGCCCGTTTTATATTTTTATGTACTTGGCATCTCGACACTATCACTTGATTAAGGTACAGTTACCAAAAAATGAATAGTTTAATAGATAAAGATATTTTCCAGTTTGGTTAGAACTAAAATAGCAACTTTTAAATAACGCTAGAGTAAGATCTGTCTTTTTTAATGATTTTTCTTAAGGAATCTTTTGATGAGCATCTTGATCATAATTATTATTAAGTAAAAAGAAAGATTTGCACAGCCTATTTGTTTCACAATATTTTTGCAGAAAGTAGAAGAATATTAATCTCGGTCTCGAAACACAGCTTTATTTACGCCATTATAATTAAGCATATTAATTACTTTAAAAGTTGTCTCAGTAGAAGATCAGTTGTTTATACACTATTCTTTTTTCTTTTGCTTGTTGCACGCATATGTTTTTCATATAGCAGAAGCCGGAGCGCCAGCAATGGGGAAATGACAGGGAATTTCTGTTATCTTGTATCGCCATGTCGGTCGGTCTCGGTAATATATGGCGATTTCCGTTTACGGCATATGAGAACGGCGGCGGCGCCTTTCTGATACCGTATATCATAATTTTAATCGTCGTAGGGAAGCCGTTTTACCTGCTGGAGATGATCCTAGGACAATTCTCCAGCCAGTCAGCCTTGAAGATCTGGGATCTTGCGCCGGCATTTAGAGGTGCGATTACATTCGGTGTATCCTAGTGCTTTTTTTGCAGTTCTCACAACTGCTCTTTAATTTTATTCAGTATTCATGAGAGAATTGTAAAATATAATATTATAGCGCAAGAATAAAATTAAATAATCGTAGGCATTGGCATCGCGCAATGTATAACATTGCTGGCACTGACGTCCTATTACTGCTCGCTGATGGCGTTGACCTTGTTCTACCTCATCGCTAGCTTCCAAACGGAATTACCATGGGGAAGATGCTGGGAGGAATGGGGCGAATTCTGCGTAGACTCTTTACGCAGCAATTACAGCTCTAGGATTGAGAACATCAGTTATTCCAGCTCTGCTGAGCTGTATTTCTAGTAAATTACTTACAAGGGGCCTGTCACAATTGCCCGAAACATTCGATTCTCCTTAAAATATGTTGATAAATATAAAAATCTAAGAGATACATATTTTTTTATATCGACCAAATCTTAGATTTAAGAGGTAAAACAACCCCTCAAAATGAAAGGGTATGAGAGTGTTTTTAAAATATTAGATTTTTTTAAATATTAGATTTTTGAAAAATCTTAATATACAGTTATAAGATATACTTGTAAAACCATAGAAGTTTTGTCTAAAACTTTTTCTATACATTTCACCATTTCGTTGTTAACACAATCCAACAAAAAAATTGCGGCGAGTAGGGCCAGCATTTCTTAATATTGTAAATTCAAGGTTGCTGAATCCAAATCCGCCAAAAGATGTCCACCACATCAGATTTTTGAGATAAATCGAGTAATATGAGTCAAAAACAGCTTTTTTACCATTTTTTTTGTGGCCAAACGAAATTTTATTTTTCAATTTCATTAGCACCACTCTAAAGAGCAAATCTTTATCTTTATAACAAATTTTTATTTTTTACTGTGCGATTTTTTTTCATTGAGTTATGAATGTTTTCTGAAATGTAAAATGGTGGATCCAAATTAGCGGATTGAACCTAGAAAGTAGATCAATTTGTATAAAAAAATATCTTAGGCTTTCTAAAGGTCATTGATATCAAATCTCATAAACTTAAAATATAAAAATTCAAAATGGCGGATCCATTATGGAGAAATGAAGTGACATTCCTTATTTGATACAAATCTGTCTATTTTTCACATTTAATCCGCTAATTTGGATCTACCATTTTACATTTTAGAAAACGTTCATAATTTAATGAAAAAAAATCGCATAGTAAAAAATTCGTTTTAAAGGTGAAGATTCGCTCTTTAGAGTGACGTTAATAAAATTGCAAAATAAAATTTTATTTTGCCACAAAAAATGGTAAATATGACAAAAAACGCTTGTGTGTGTGTTTTTGACTCATATTAATCAATTTACCTCAAAAACTTAACGTGATGGGCATATTTCGATGACGGACTCAGCGATCTTGTATCTATTAAGAAATGTAGGTTGCCGTAGGAAAAAAAGGTCAAATTTTGTCGGACAGTGTAATTGATAGGAATATAAGCGTTAGTTTAGAGATTGTTTCGTACATTCAATCTGATATTGGGACGATATAAAAAGATACGTACTTCTTAGATTTTTGTGTTTAACAATATACTTCAAAGAAAATCGATTTCGGACAGTTGTTTCAGGTCTTTTGTTAGATACAATAGTGAAATTAGCTACTCGTATATCTAGTTTTTTATCTAAAGTGTCCCGAAATGGATCAGATGACTTTCCGTGAATAAAATTTTAGAGAATCAAATGAACAACAAAACTATACTTCAGAGAATTCCTTTAATAAAATTTAAGTCGAAACTAACATAAAAATATAATATACTGTAATTACTTATTATATGCAACTATTGTACATAGGTACATATATGTACATTAGATTGACAAGAAAAAAAAATTTTTTAATCGGCCTTTCAGTTAAAAATCTTCCATTTCACGTCAAAAGAACACCCCTGAATTTTTATCAAAAGATATTAAGATTTAGAGATCGCTACTAATTTTTAAATCAAAGTTTTGATTTTTTTAAATACATGTTTAATTTGATGCAATAAATAGCTTAATCCGGATTTTAAATGTGGTACTGTATGTTTTTTAGTCACTGAACACGATAATTCATTTAGCTCTACGATATATGTAGAGCTAAATGTAGTCTATTATATATAGGGTGTCCGCCCATAAATGTCCGAGCAAATATCTCGCAACTGGTTGAAGTTACAAGAAAGTTTAATAAGAGAAATTTGTACGACTTCAAGCTACAAAGTGCAAGTAAAAAATTTTTTGTTGCTTTTGGTTTTTCTGAGTTATGTAGGTTAACATAGTTTTTTTAAATGGATAGCTATAATTTTTTTTGCATATTTGTATAGGGAGCATTTGTAATCAAAATTGTATGTAGTACAAAATTGTATGTAGTACAAAATTGTTATTATGCATCGTTTACGAGATAATCGACATTTTAAGTATCAATGTAGTAAATTGAATTCGGTAATTATTTAGTATGCGGGATTATCCTCCAATGACCTTGACTTTGACATATGTTGTCAAGGTCATGCCCCCGAGTGACTTTGACCAAATTTTAGCTGTCGTTCATTGTTCGTTAAAAAATTGTTATCAAAAAAGCTTTATTAAAACAATGTGATTTTAAAACAAAGAATGTTTGTAAACCAGACATTCTCAGAAAAAGAATCACATATATCATCACATAATATCAGTTGACTGGACTAACTTTTGCAGAGAGGTAATTCATGTAATTTAATAACTTGGTAAAACATAAATGGAGAACAATATCAATTGTTTGTAAAGCAAGAAATTTGCGTTTTTGAAGTAAAATATTAGTATTTTTGAAACAGAAAATGTGTATACTTTTAATTAAAAATTATCTACTTTAATAAATATTCAATTACAACAATCGGGCTTTTCAACTCATGAATCAATAGTTAACAACAATCAAAGTCAAATTGGCGGAGAAAGAATTATTGTCGAAATCGATGAGGCAAAATTTGGACGTCGACACTATCATTGCGAACGACTCGTTAAAGGATAATGGCTTTTCGATGGAATAACACGTAATACAAAGAAAATATTGTATTTGTCCTATCAATGACGCACAAACATTACTACCGTTCATCCGGAAAAACATCGCTCCTGAATCAATAATTCATACCGATTATTGGAAAGTATACAGTCAAATCGACCCAATATATCAACATAAAATAGTAAATCATTCACATTTTGATCCAGATACAAACGTTCATATTAAGAACATCGAACATCTGTGGAGAGATATTCGCGGAATTATACCTCAATATGATTGTAAACAATTCCATTTCGTCCATTACCTTGCAGAATTCATGTACCTTGCAGAAAAACGTTTGATACACATTACGATTAGACGCTTTTTTTAATGTAATGGCTAAAGATTCCACATATAAGCGTAAAAATTCGAACAAATTCTCTGCTCTAAAGACACAAAAATTATAATATATAAGAAAATATTTTGCGCTGTTAAAGCAGAAAATTTGTTTCATCGGTGCGCAGTGGTGTCCAAAAGTTAGGTTTTATTAATGAACTTTTTTTGTTAGTAACTTTTTAAGGAACAAAATGAGCAACGACTAAAATTTGTCCAAGATCACTCGGAGACAACATATGTCAAGGTCATTGGAGGATAGTCCCCTATAATAAATAATTAATTTGGATTTTAAGTAATTTTGACATTTCAAACCACGTTCAAAATTACTTAGAATTTACTATTTTGATATATAAGATGTCGATTATCTCGTAAACGATACATAGTAGCGATTTTTTACTATATATAATTTTGATTGTAAATGCTCTCTACTACATGTATAGATATGTAAAAAAATTATAGGTATCCATTTAAAAAAACCTATGTTAACCTACATAACTCGAAAAAGCCAACAGTAGAAAAAAATTTTTACATGCACTTTGTAGCTGATTCAGAGTTTCTCTTATTAACTTTTTTGTAATTTCAACAAGTTGCGATATATTTGCTTAGATGGATATTTATGGATGGACACTCTGTATATATATTAGGTGTACAAAAAAGTTCTGAGCTTTAGATTTGATACAACCGAAATAACAATTTAAATTTTATATATCTTCCCGCCCTTTTGGGGTTTTAAAACAGTAACATTTAACCTCCTGAAATGCGATACGGTTTGGCGTTTGATGCACATAACCTCAAAAATCAGTAGTGTTCACGATGGCAATTACAAAAGAGCATATTCGATTTTCCATCCACTTCGCGTTTCATCTGAAGAAAAATGCTGCTGAAGCCACTGAAATGATTTGTGCTGCATATGGAGAGAACGCTGTAAGTCATGCAACATGCAAAAGGTGGTATCAAAAGTTTCGCCAAGGAGATTTCAGTCTTAAAGATGAATCGCGTGCT